CCAGTGACGCTCTGCCAGCCATCTCGTCGTGCAGCGTTCACGCGTGCTCAGTTCGGAGGCTTCAGTTTTTTTGTTTCTCAGAGGATGGTATCCAGAGGTCATGGACCCGTCGCTTTTGCGCGGCATGTCAAGCCGCAACCATTCAGCTTCCTGCGCGGGGACCACGCCTCCATTGAGCGGCACTCCGTGAGCGCGCGCAGATGGGACATCTCCGTGAGCAGCTGTTTCAGGTGATGAACCGCAAGGCGGAGGAGGTGGATGAGGAATCCGCCAGGTACCAGGAGGAAAGGAAGGTGGACGAGATGAATGAGATGTTCATGAAGGTAGCGAATGAGGCAGCAGTAGAGTTTGTTAATTACGGAGAGCCCGCTCGCCATCGATGAGCGCAGAAACCAAGCTGAGCCGTTCGGGGCGTTATTCGCTCAGCGACGGCAACGTCGTGAGCAACTACCGCAGTGCGTTCTGGGGAAAACACGAAACGAGGTCATCAAGCATTTCAGTCGCCAGCTGCGGGCGGGAATGCCAGGGGGAGGTTCGGGCAGGAATGCCGGGCGGGAATGCCCGGAGCAGCCGGGCAGGGCATTTTCGATTCGTAGCAGCTAATTCCTAGCTGCTAAAGGACGCGGCCCTAGGATACGTCAGTTTCGCGCAGTTCCTATGTTAACAGCTGCATCCGTAGCTTGGCGCAGCCGCATGCAACTTCCAGCAGAGCACGGAGGATGCAGCGCCACACCCGTCAGTCTAACTGACGCGCAGCAGGGCGCTGATGACCACAATCGCCCGAAGCGCGATGAGATGGATGAGCTTGGGATGGCCATGACAGATTTCGACAGCAGGCCAGCTACAGAGTGGCATCTTCGTGTCCGCGGCACGTGGCCTGGATGGTCGTGCCCACCCGAGTTACTGCGTCGTCTTTTTCATCCTGAGTGGACCAACTCCAGGCGCTCCAAAGCTCGCGCTGGGCGTGGCCGCGGTGACATCGAGCTATGATAGAATATGTCTGCGCGTGGAATTATTGCGGGCGCGTCGGCGCTGGGGGCGCGCGCCCGTTGCCCGGCGCGCGGCGCGGGCAGCCGGGCTTCCTGGGAGTGCTACGCCGGAATGCGATTGCGAGAGAATTCGCGTGGTCATGTGCACCCAGGGCCGCAATTTCACGCTGGAAGGATAAAGAAAAGCCCAGACAACCCAGACGCTCGGCGGCCGCCAGATCGGGCACGCGGGGGGCTGGAAGCACGAAGAAGAGAAACCGCCATGGCAGCCCAGATTATAGGTAGTGTTCGGACGCAGACAGGTGGAGCGCCTCACTGGCTGAGGTGCACGACGCGACAAACGAATTCTTCTCGATCAAGCGCAGCACGATCTTTGCGATTACCGGCTCGTGGCATTGCTATGGGGACCTGGAGTTTCTCGAGGGCCGCATCACTAGGGGGGCGTTAACATCTGGGGCGAGACGGCGGTTTGGGCCACGGCCTGGATGCGGAGTCTTTCCAGGAGATATTGGAACAACGCGCATTTACGTTCCCCCTTTTCCTCGGCCCATAACGTAGCACGTTGCCGACGCGTGCCGCGGGGCCGGCTGGCACGCGGCCGCGGAGGCTCTCTTGCCGTGGGACGAGGGGGGGTGGACGTCAGACAGATAACGTTGATTGGTTTTTGCGGGCGATATCGCGAATCATGTTTTAGAAAGTGGGAGGGGGGAGCAGGACTTTTTGGAGCAGGACCAGCAGCAGAAGACACGGCGACCGTCGAGGGCATGGGGGAGATGGGCGCTAGTCAGAATGTCGCAGGAAGGACAATATAGCGCTTCTCACCAGCGCTGTGACCCACGGGCACGCTCGACAGCATCGCTCGCGCCAGATATGTCGGCGGGCACTTCGCCGCTACTTTTTCACTTGTGCCCGAGCTGCTGAGGAGGCAGCGCGCGCTGCGCGTGGGCTTGAGTTCCATGGGCAAGTCCTCGTATTCCAACGCATCGTGAAAGCAGAAAGTCGATTCAGTTGAAGGGTTACTTGTGGCTCTGTCTGGGGGCGGTGGCGCGGGCTGATGGCGAGGGCTCCTGGCCCCTCGAGATCTCGCTGGGCCCGAGGGGTTCACCGCGGCCAAGCGGGGGGCTATTCCAGAGGGGGGGGTTTCAGTGGGGCGCAGGGGGAGAAGCTCACGCGCCGTCTCATCGCGATGTGCTACGTAAGTGTGGGATTGCGCCTCTGTTTCTGGAGCTCGGAATTCGGTGTTCACGGCGTGCCGGATGATGTCCAGGGCCAAGGAATTGCACGGGCAATTCTGGGCTGCCACGACAGGTGTAACCGCTGTGGACGGGGAGGCGCCGGAGGAGGGCAGGGCCGTGCAAGGGCATCCTCGGGCGATCCAGACGCGGCAAGATGCTCGCGCTCTCGGCGCTATCGAGCCAGGGGGGGGCCTGCATGAGAAAACAACAAAAAAACACATGTTCGATTCGATCGAGCGTTATGCGACGCGGGGGGAGGGGGGATTTCCAGGCGATCGATGTCAGGCAGTCGCGCGCAGTTGTCCTTCGTCAGCCCCCCGCCGTCACCAGCGCGGCCGCGCCTTCCGACGCGGCGGGGGACTTCGCGCGCAATGAGTTCCTGCCTGACGGTTCGCAGCGCCTCGCCAGATGGCCAATGCGGAAACAGCTTGTCGCGCGCATCGCTTCGACCGCTGGGGTGGCGCATGGGGAACTACGCATTGCGCGGATCTGTGCCATTACGAATCAGGACACGATTTGTTCTAGCGTTTTTCGAGATCGCATTGTCGTTCTGCAGCGCACGAAACGAAGCTTGGTGAGGCGGCTCCGCCCGCGCAATCGAGGTAGGTTTGACAGCGCGGCGCACTGCGCATATGCTCGTAAACTCCATGTCTGCTTCGGGGATTCAGACGCCGCAGACTTGCTGCCTGAGAACCTTTTCACTCACTTACCTCCTTTTCTGTCACTGAACTTTCAGATTAACCAGAGCGCGTGGAGGCCACGTCGAACTCGGCAGGGCTGGCGAGACCTCGCAGCAAGAGCTTCGTGACCGCTTCGGAACAGCAAGGGCACCAGCAACATAGGGGCATGGGCGAGGGGATGGCGGGGGGGAGGAGGGGCGCGGCAACGGCGGCAACGCCGTTCGAGACAAACTCACCACCCAGCTCGATGTTCGCGCGAGGACCCTCGAACAGGCGAGCTACACCACAGTGCCCATGGAGAGGGCGCACAGGGCTATCGTGGCAATGTCGAGCAGCACCCAGGACTTCTAGAGGAAAGGAACAAGCTTTTATGAACAAGGAGAGATGGTCAGCTCCGCGTGCCAAGCCATTTTCGCCACTCTCGCCGCCATCGAGAACTCGTCTCCCGCCGGCTTGCCAGCCAGGGTCTAGCCGGGAAAGGGGGCATGCAAGAGGCTCCAGCTGATGATGGCGAAGTCCACGCCGTTCCAGAGATCGAGCACGCATCGAAGAAGTGCCCACTGCCCCCACCTTCGACCGCCCAGGCCAGAACCAGCTCAATCGCATTGCGTTGTCGCTGCGAGGCAAGATTCCTCTGCCGCGAGAGAAGGCCGTGGCAGAGGCATTGTTAAAAGGAGCTCGGGGAGGCAAAGGAGGTGGGAGACGGGATCTCGGCAAAGGCGCAGCTCAGCCCTCTTGATGTGCTTAGTGAGATGATGGGCATGACAGGAATCTGGGCTAGTGTTGAGCGGATAGTATATGTGAGCAGTTGCGCAGCTTAGCTGCGCATGTGAAGGGCAATCGCGCAGCGAGGGGCAACGTGGCCAGGCAGCTTGGCGGCGGGAAGAAGCCCATAGAGAAGAGGGATTTGGATGCCTTCGGCCGCTTGCCGCGCTGGGCCCCCGAGCTGGCCGATCAGCCTGTTGCGTGTGTGCGCGTGTGTTTGACTCCTCCCTCGGCGGCTTGCCTCCGCACCTCTTCTTGCTTTCTTGTCGCCCCCTTCGTTGCATGACGGCGAACGTGCATTCAGTGGAGCAGCATGGTTGACTAGATGGCGGAATGACGACAAGGGGTTCAACAAGGTTTCAGCGGCCCCAGCCCGAACCATGTTTTTTCTTGCCAGAGTGAAGATCAGACGGCATGAAGGGCATGAGTGCTGCTATGTGCTGCTCCTCCTCCTCCTCCTCCTCATCATCATCATCATCATCATCATTATCATCATCATCATCATCATCATCATCATCATCATCATCATCATCATCATCATCATCATCATCATCATCATCATCATCTGCATCATCATCCTTTCCCTCCCCCTCCTCCTCGTCATCCTCTTCCTCCTCCTCCTCCTCCTCCTGCTCCTCCTCCTCTTCCTCCTCTTCCTCCTCCTCCTCCTCCTCCTCTTCTTCCTCCTCCCCAGAGATCCGACGTTCCAAAAGCATTCGAGCGGCGGATTGGGGGCCGTTTTCGGCCTCCAGGAGCTTTCGGTGGGCCTCGGGACCGTCAGATAAAGACTCAGGACGAAAAACCGGCCTTACGGAAGTGGTCCGGATCTCTGGGGCCCACGCATCGAACAAATTGGAGCGGCCAGATGTTTGAGTAGGGTGAGGGGGAACAGTTTCCAGAAACACTCCTGCTTCTTAGAAGGCGCTGGCCCTGATTGTAGGTGCGGGGCTGGCACCTTCTAACAAGCGGCCTCCTTCTAGGAAGCCCTCCCTCTTCCTCCTCCTCCGTCTCCTTTTCCTCCTCCTGCTCCTCCTCCTCCTCCTCTCCTTCCTCCTCCTCCTCCTTCTCCTGCTCCTCCTGCTCCTCCTGCTCCTCCCTCCTCCTCCTCCTCCTCCTCCTCCTCCTCCTCCTCCTCCTCCTTCTCCTGCTCCTCCTGCTCTCCTGCTCCTCCTCCTCCTCCTCCTCCTCCTCCTCCTCCTCCTCCTCCTCCTCCTCCTCCTCCTCCTCCTCCTCCTCCTCCTCCTCCTCCTCCCCCTACTTCTCCTCCTCTTCCACGTCCCCCCTCCCGCATATACCCGCTGGTGCGCGCCGCCAGAGGGCCGCTTCCGCAGGCGCGGCGGAGCGGTGGGCTCCTCGACGGCGGGAGGGGCTGGGCCGGCTCCGAGCCCAGTGGCGTTGACGAGGCGCGGGGGCAACGCTGGGGGGGAGGGGGGGGTCCCGCTCTTGTCCTCCTCCTGTCCGGAGGAGGTTACGGAGTTGGGGTCACGTGAGGGGGGACACGCTCAAGGCGGGACGCATCGACCCCCCCGTCGCCCACTCCAGGATCTCTCCCAACGGCCGCAGGAGACGTTTGGAGGGGATGGGCTCAGGGGGGGGGTTCGAGGTTTGCGGGCGTTTTCGACGGTTCTCGGCGGTGTTCCAGCCCCGGGATGCCTTCCAGCAGCTGAGCATCGCCGCGAGGCGCCCCCCAGGGGTGCCTGGATCGTCCCGAGCGGCCGCCAGAGAGCCAAGCTATGACTCGAAAGCCAAGGGGCAAGGGGGGATAGGCTCTGGGGGGGGGGGGGGGGGGACGTCGACCCCCAGTCGCCCATTCTTCGCCAACAGGGACCCGATAGCCCGCCTTGTCCAGGAACGTGCGGATTTGCTATCGAGGGCTTATCGCCGATCCATCGGTAATGCATCGCTGATTCCAGGTCGATGTTTCCTTCCTGAGCCGGTCCACCGTTAGTTTTCGGATGATAGTTCAGGCCTCTGGTGGCGCTTCGGGGCGATCCGAGAAACCCGGAACGCTCCCTGGCTAGGCGCAGCCGCTAGAGGCATCCCGAGGCTGGAAAGCAGCCGAGAACCCACGCACATGTCCGAAAACCTCGAGCATCGAAACTTCGGTCCCCCCCTGAGCCGGTGCTCCTCCGCCTCCTCCTCCGCCTCCTCCTTCTCCTCCTCCTCCTTCTCCTCCTCCTTCTCCTGTCGTTGCCCTTCAAAGGTGGTGGAGCGCCTGCTGCAGCTGCTGCCGCGGCGGCGTCGCCTGGCTTTCAACGAGCGGGCGTTCCTGATGAGGCTCGCGGAGGAGCGCCCGTCGGGTGGGTCGGAAGGCTCCAAAACGGCGGAGGAGAAGGAAGAGGAGGAGGAGGAGGAGGAGGAGGAGGAGGAGTAGGAGGAGGAGGAGGAGGAGGAAAAAGGAGGGAGAGGAGGAGAGAGGGAGGAGGACGAGGAGGAGGAGGAGGAGGAGGAGGAGAAGGAGGAAAAGGAGGAGGAGGAGGAGGCGGAGGGGGAGGGGGAGGAGAGGGAGGAGGAGCTTCAGGAGGAGGAAGAGGAGGAGCAGGAGGAGGAGGAGGAGGAGGACGACGACGACGAGCACCCGTCGGGTGCAGTCGGCGCTTTCCGCCAGGAGTCGGAGGGCCCCAGAACCAAGGGCGCTGCGCAGATTTCCAGGATCTGCGCTGGAGCCCTCTTGCGACGCCTCCGGCGCCGATGCAAGAAATCAGCGCGGACTTCCGAAAGTGTATGTGTATGGCAGTCTTGGTTTCCCGATCAGTCGGGATTCGGGGTGACCGCACGGTTTCGGGACGCCGGCCGTTGTCCGAGGGCGTCTCGAGCAAGTGGGTCCTCCGAGGTCCCAAAACGGGGGCCCCCGCAGGAGGGAGGAGGAGGTGAACCCGTGGCCGCCCCGGTTGACGACATCTGGCTGGACGGCAGCGATGGTGAAGGGGTCGAGCACCGGCTAGGCACCATCAGGATGCAGCTGCGCAGCCGTGAGGCGAAGGCGCTCCGGGCCCACAAGTGCGTGAAGGCCCTGTTTCCAGACAGCCCGCTCGTGCTCCCCCCGCTCGGGCAGGACGTGGAGGGCGCGGAGATGCCTGCTTTCATCGAGATTGTCCAATACGGCTCCAGGCCAGCCACGATCCCGCACTACCACCTGGACTGCCACGGTGGGCCTAAGGACTGGAACCGCCCGGGGGCGGAGATCTACTGGGGCGCGAGGGCCAAGGAGCATTTCCAGCAGCGGGGGATGCCAAAGGCCACCGCGGCCGACGTCAACCTCATCCTGGCCTTCCTCAGCGCCGGCAGGTGCGGCATCAGTATCATCATCATCATCATCATCATCATCATCATCATCATCATCATCATCATCATCATCATCAGCAGCAGCAGCAGCAGCATCATCATCATCACCCGCATCATCATATTCATATTCATGTTAATATTGATATTCATCTTCATCACCATCATCATCATCATTATCACCACCAACATCAGCATCATCACCATCATCAGCAGCAACATCATATTCATCGTCATCTTCATCAGTCGCAGCATGATCACCAACATCAACAACATCATCACCATCATCAATACCATCATCATCAGCAGCATCATCGTCACCACCTACATCACCAGCATCATCATCACCATCATCATCATCATCATCATGATCATCATCATCATCATCATCATCATCATCATCATCATCATCATCATCATCATCATGCGTGCCAGAGCTGTACCGGGAGGCCGGCGGCGAAATCACCGAGGCTCGGCTCGACCTCGTTGTGAGTTGGCCGGGTCTGCCCACGCCGACCTGGGTCGACGTCACCGTTCGCTCGCCTGGGGAATCGGGCCCGGCTGTCCGCGCAGTCGGCCATGCGGCCATGGACGCGGAGCGGCGCAAAAAGGACAGGTACGGCGACTCGGTCGTGGCCTTCGCGGTTGAGACCGAAGGCCGGCTCTGCCCCGCCGCGCAGCGCTTCGTGGCGGAGGTCGCCACCGCAGCGCGGCGCACCGCGGTCCTCCCAGGCGAGCCGATCGGCCGCCTCGGCGCGGACTTCGCGCGGCAGGTGTCGGCCAAGGTGTCCGGCGCCCTCACGGCGCGCCTGGCCGACCTGCTGCTGGCGGCGTCGCTCCCGGATGCTGCTCCCGTGGGCGCCCTCCGGCTGTCCTGAGCGGCCGCTCGATTGTTTACTAAAGCCGTCTCTTGTTGGATGTCTCGCTGCAAGGGGATAGCCGTATCATGATCATCATCATCATCCGTATCCATTTTGGCTCAAGCCATTTTGGCTCAAGATGGCGCGATCAGCGCAGATGTCTGGTTTCATGTGGTTGGCTCTAGCCGTCGCGTTCCTTCTTGGGTCAGATTCCAAATCGACCTAGCTTTCAGCGAGGCCTTTGCGGCCACTGTTCATTCATTTCCATAACCTTTTCCGACACCTGGCCCCAGTCGCCCGATTGGGAGCCCAGCCGCGGCGGGCATGGCACGACTCGGTGGTGGTGCGCGGGGTGCCGCGCGCGGCGCCGGCAGCAAGGCGGCAGAGGCGGATGCGGAGGAGGTCAGCCAGGCGGAGTTGGGGGCAGCAGCGGTGGCGGCAGCCAGCCCAACGCCTGGGACCGTCCCAAGTGCGGAGCCAAGAAGAACTGGGGCTCCAGGCACGTAGGCCGTAGCTGCGGATTTGATTGGTGGGAGCAAAGATAGGGTGCAAGCTCGTGGCGGAGGGGCATGTCGCACTTGGACGCCAAGGAACGAAACGAGCTCAACCAGCTGCGGCGCAAGGTCAAAAAGCTCGAAGGAAATGCTCGCGCAGCTTCAGGGGGCGATGGAGGCGCAGCAGCAGTCCACGCCGCACCGAAGGACGAGAGGGCACGGCGACTCGGGAACTTGCGGAGCGACATCAAACAACTCGAAGGAGTGGAGGGCGCAGCTGAAATACTGGCGGGCAAGCGGCAGGAGGTGCTGCAGCTGGAGCACGAGCTCGCCGAGGAGAAGCCCACGCCCGTGCAGCTCAGCGAGATCGAGCGCAAACAGCGGAACCAGCGGAGCAGCTCGGAGGCGCTCGACAGGGAGATAAAGGACACCGCGAGGGGGATCACGGGCCTCGAGGCGCAGAAGCTCGAGTTCGAGGGCAAGCACGAGCAGAGCAAGGCAGCGGAGAAGGAGCTCCAGGCGCTCATCGACAACCTCTTGGCCAAGTACAAACGGGAGCGCGGAGAGCAATTCGGAGAAGAAGTGGTGGTGTCGGGCGCCATAGCAGCAGCGCCTGGGTCCCCAGCTGCCCCACTCAGCGAGGGCGAACGCGCTACAGCTTTCTTGGAAGCTTTGGACCAGGCCCCTGGCATGCTCAACAAAGGTTACGCTCAGCACTGGGAGAAGCAAGTCTCCCAGCAGCGTCGGCTGGCTCGCAGCGTCGCGGCAGCGGGCGCAACAGCATAACGCGACAGCGGCGACGAGAAGCTCGAGGAGGCCGACCTCAGCAACATCTTGTACAGCATGGAGGAAGAGGTCGAGGTCCCCGCGGAGGAGGGCAGCGCGGCAGCAAGCGCCGGCAGCGGCGACGAAGGGGCTCGACGCGGGGGCCCCGCAGCCCAAGCCGCCCAGAGGCGCGGGCTCCGCGCGCAGAAGCTCCTCCAGAGCCTCCGCTCGGCGGGGCTCAAGCGGAGGGGGAAGCGTGGGTAGCAAGCCTATATTCACGGCGGTCAGCCTCAACGGCAGCGGTCGGGGCCCCTTCGCGACCATCCTCGGCGGGCAGTTGGGCCCTCAGCAGCAGGTGGTCGCCGACGCGCGCATGGAAGACGCGATCTGCTTCCAGGAACACCACCTCAACGGCTACCGAGTTGTCGAGCAGGAGCAGCGGTGCAGGCTGGTCGGCTGGAACGCGGTGCTGACCCCAGGCGTGAGTTCCGTGGGGGCAACGCAGCAGCGCGCGGTGAGCGGTGGCACCGGGGTCGCAGTGCGCTCCACCAGCGGCATGTGCGGCCCCGGCGATCAGGGCTGCAAGGCCAGCTGCCAGGTCTCTGAACGGAAGGGCCACGGTAGCCCATGTCAATGGAACGGTACCTGGCGGGTTCCGGCTGGGCTCCGTTTTCGTGGACAACGACGACGTCGGCGAGACCGGCCAGTCCGTGCTGCAGGAGGTCGGCCCCCTCCTCAAGCGCACAGGGAAGCCGTGGGTCACCGCGGGCGACTGGAACGTGGAGCCCGAGCGTTTCCTTCAACGCGCGGGGCGTTGGCTCTGCGAAGTCGGCGGCCACGTCGTTGACGCGGGCGCGGGCACCTGCCAGTATTCCCCGACCAAGGAGCCCTCGGAGCTAGACTGCTTCATTGTCAGCTCCGATACGTTCGACCGAGTCCTCGCCTGCAAGCGCCCGGGCATGACCGCCCAGGGGTGCGCCAACCCTTGCCGCCCACATATGGCAGTGCAGCTCAGCTTCACTTGCTGCGGTGACATGGGCCAATCGTTCAGGGTCAAGGGGCCGATGGCGTTCCCCAAGGCCCGCCCTTTCGGGCCCATGCTGGAGATGCACTGGGAGCACAGCGCTGTTTGGGCGCAGATTGACATGGGCGGCGCCTTGCAGGACATGGAGGAGGCCTACCAGGGGCTCTGCGAGGGCGTAGATGAGGAGCTCGTCTGGGCGCACCAGACCGACCCCGACGACGCCGACTTCGATCGGGGACGGGGGGGTCCGCCGAAGTTCGCTTTCGGCTCCCAGGCGAAGGCGCGCCCCATCAAGGGCCCTAAGGACAGCTTCAAGGGGGGGGGGGGGGGGGGCTCATGCACCTGAGCGACGACTTCACACGGGGGAGGTCTCTCACAGGCGGCGCCGAGGCCGACGACGGGGGGCCCGCGTTTGAGGGGCGCCTTGAGCTGGGCCCCGAGCGCCGCGAGGCTGAGCGCATGCAGGCCAGGGCAATCAAGCGCTGCAAGCGCGCGTCGGGGCGCCGAGCGCGCAGCTCGGCTTCAAACCCTAGCAACCCCAACCACCACAACGACGAGGCCGAGTGGATGGAGAAGTGCGAGCCCTACATCTTCCGCACGCTGGACTTGCCGACGCGCGTCGCCACAGGCCCGGCGCAGGATTTCGACAACCGCATGCGCACCGCGAGAGAGATCTGCTTTTCTGCGCGGCGGCGCGGGGGCCCTGGCAGGCGCGAGCTGGTTCGTATTCTCCGACATCTCGGCCAATTACATCCCGAGGATGGCGGGGGGGCGCGCCGCCGAACTGTCGTCGACCACGCGGAATCGAAGCGGCGGTTAGAGGAGCGCGGCGACTACAGCAGGCCCCTCGGCGCCACTTTCGCCTTCGATGTTTCGACCAGGCCCCCGACGGATCGGGGGCCGCACGGGGGTGGATGCCCGTGGGCGACGCCGCAGCCCAAGTTGAGTGGCGACCCTCGGGCGACGCCGCAGCCCCCCACCCTCTGCGCCGCTCTTGAGGGAGTGGCGGCTCCCGGCGAGTGGAGCGCCATCGAGGTTGGCGCGCAAGGAGTTCGGGGGGCCCTCCAGGGCATCGCGCGAGGCTGGCTCCCACACCTTGCAGGCTCCCGACCCAGAGCGCGACGAGGCCGAGTGGATGGAGCTGTGCACGCACTACGCACTTGCACGCTTCTGCCAGCACGATGGCCATGGCGCCGCCGACGCGAACACCGCGGGGGCACCCAGCGGCGGAGGCGCAGGGGTCGCGCTGGGAGCAGCAGCCGCGGAGAGGACCAGCGCGATCCCTATCCAGCACCCTCCAGGATCCTTCGCCACACTGGCGGCAGCAGGTGGAGGGCACCCAGCAGCCCCCAGCGCGGGGCATGCAACATCGGCTTCGACAGCGGCAGCCACAGGCAGCGGCAGCGCTGGCAGCGAGGGCGAGAACGGCACCTGCACGGCTCAGCCGTTCACGGACCGAGCGGCCGCACGCTGGAACAGGGCCGTGGAGTTGCGCGAGGAGAGCCCGTCTGTCGCGCAGCCTGCGAGGGACGAGTACCACCGCGGCATGATCGCCCTAGAGCCCAGCCGCCCCGACGCGTGGGCAGTAGCGGACGACGAGCACTACAGCTACATTCAGTCCGTCAAGCATCCCATGCGGTATCACGGGGACCTTCCGTCGGATTCCAGCGACGGCGGCTGCGACGGCAGCAGCGGCGGCGGCAGCGCGGACGGCAGAGCTGTGCGCGCAGGTGCGGCATCCCCGAAGCCCCCGACCATGGAGGGAGGGCCTCCCGCTGGGGGCGCAGTGGGCCGCGCGCGTAGCCCTGGCGGCCGATTGCCCCGACCTGCTGCCCCTGGCCGAATGGGCTGCCGAGGCCAGGG